GGGGGGGGGGGGGGGGGGGGGGGGGGGGATCAAGAAATTGTAGGGGGAGGGGTTTTTTCAACGACACGATTGTCGTCATTTTTCTCCCGATCAGCGTTTTGTCGCGATTAGAGGTGGCGATGTACACGGCTGGAAACGTTAACAACAACACAAAAACAAGGCGTGGACTAATACTACTACTATTACTACTACTAATACTACTACTATACTACTACTACTATTTACTACTACTAACACTACCGCTGCTACTATTACTACTAGTACTGCTGCTGCTGCTGCCGCTACTACTACTACTAGAGGTACTGCTGCTGCTGCTGCTACTACGACGACAACAGCATCAGCAATGACAAAAATTGACGACGACGACGATGACGACAGCCCCCCCCACCTGAGACGCTCCAACGCGCCCCGCCGTAGTCGCACGGCGCGATCGCAGTCACCCCCCACGGCCTGCTCGAGGCGGTGGAGGTCGACACGCCCTTGCGCCGCCTTGTGGACGATCTGCGGCGGAGGCAAAGCACAGCGCGGTTTTGGGGCCGATGGAACGTCGTCAACATCTCGACACAAACAGCCGTGGAAGCAAAAAATGGGCACAAGACAACGTTTAACCACCATTATTTTGCTGTTGCCGTCATCGTTGACTTATTTATTGGCCTTCCGTGGGCATCCCTCCCCGCTGCAAGAAAGTTCATGCGAAAAGGACCACGATAGCCGAGGACTGCTGCTGTCTCCTTCTACGCCCGAAATCACGACACCCAACGAGAGGGCTTCTTCTTCGCCTGCCTGCCCGACCGACTTTTCGCGTCTCTATTCCCCTCATCCTCTCAAACTGTTCTCTTCCCTCCAGACCCAACCCGACAAAACAACAACAACACCGGACCCGCCTGGTGGTCCGACTCCTGAGAAATATCCGCTACCGGTGCCGCCGCAGCAGCCGCCATCGCTCCGATCTTGCGCCGCTTGCCGCCAGCGCTACTGCCACCGCTAGTGCCTGCACCCTTCAGAAGATACTGGTGCCGCTGCATCGCCCCACCCAGATCGCCCTCGCTCTCGAGTTGCTTTCTCTTGGCCACGTTCATTTTCGCGCGCGACACCTGTCGGAGGTTGACGACGATGCCCTGGAAAGACGAAAGACAAGAGTCGAGAAACGACCGGATTCGAGGGGGGCGGGGGGGGGGGGGGGGGGGGGACCGGGGGTTTCTTCTCAACAGGGGTGGGGACTTTCTCTCGCGCGCTTGCGT